ATGCAACATGTTGGACAGCAATAAAAAGGACAAATTTGAATTACTAACTTTTGTAAACCTTTACCATATATTTTATATATGAGATATTTGAAAAGAGACTGTTACTGGTAAAGTGTGATTTCAAGTCAGTACCTACTACTCACCTTCTCATATCACCTGTGGAATTAGTCTGCTGGCCTATACATTGATCCAGAGGTGTTTTCTGTTTAACTTCTTCTGAAATGTGTGGTGGCTGTTTTGTTAACAGCTGCTGATTCCATGATGCATCTGAATTTAGAGATTGGAATAAGGTAATTGTTTGTAATAAAAACTATTTGACAATATTTTTAACCAAAAATGTCCCATGGTTACAAAAAGACAGACTTGAGGTATAGGCAAACATACATTTGATCTGCATTAAAAAGAGAAAAGGAGCTGTTGCTTGGGGACGTGCATCAGCTGTTATTATGTCTGCATGATCTTGCAGCAATACAAATCACCCTAACTTTGCACCTAAGCAAAGCAACATTAACCTAAGAAAGCATAAACCTAAACAAAGAAGCATGCAGATGTAACAGTTACAATATACCAATTTATGTCAGTATCGTTCATGTCAATCCAATTGTGTTATGCCTGCCTATACCAGTAATTAAACAATGCACCTAAAGAAAGTGGGTTAATACAATTTTGTTAACACTTCTAAGAAGATGACACCAGAAAATGAAGTTACATAAAGTATTTTTCAGTAAAGAAAAATGTCCTAAGGTTGTATTTCCTGAATAAACTCAAATACCCATCCAAGCTGCTAAGCAACCAGAAGATACTGAATTCAGGGCAATGACCCACAAAGCACTGGATAGAGCAGTTCAGTTATTATGATAGATCCTTCATGACTACTACTTACTCTTACTATTTTTGAAGCCCAGATAAATCTTTTTCCTTTGTGATTCCCTCATCATAGGCATAACAAGCAGTTTCTGTGCTCTCGGTGGCAGCAGCAGTAGCAGCAGGTAGGGCAGTGGTGGTGGCCAAAGCAGCTGCCATTTCTGTGCTCTCTCAAAACTGGCACCTCGAGTTGGTGTCCTGCTTATCCATCCCTACTTGCACTACTGGGTGTCATAGGATTGGGCAACTGCAGCAGCCTCTTAGTGGCCCATGGAATGCTTCTGTGTGAAAGTGCTCTAGGACGAATTTAATGTATAGGCAGCTGAACCTGCCAGACTCCCTATCTTTGGCACTGAAGAAGTCTCTGTGGCCTTCCGAAGAATTTTGTTACCCATAGATTGGGAAGCGTTTTCTTTATAGAAACCAACCACTTTCTTTGACACAGAAACAGAAAAAAGGACTTTTGGACTCTGCCAGTAAGGAACCCAGAGAAATTAGTGGCACATCTTTGATCTGAAGAGAAACATCTTTAATCTGAAGATCTCCAATGACTGATCGTATAAAATGTAGGATACTTCCCTTCATAATCAGATGAAACTGAGTCTTGTTAGGCATTATGGCATCAAGGCATTGGAAAAAGTTAGGAATAAAAGATCAAGGGCAAGAGAGGACTATCAAAGGACAAGGGATGACCAAGGAACTGAGAAGAGCCTCAAAATGTCTGATGTAAAAGCTGAACTACTTGATGCTCATATCTAAACTACAACCGTCAACGCATTTCAAATTAGTACTACTCAACAGGCACTCTTTGAAAGGTTAATCTTTACATATTAATCTTCAAAGACACTTCATGGTGTATTTTCTATTTTCAGTAGCTAAAATCACTTTCACCAAAGTACTAGAAGTAGAATAAATCTACATGATTAACTAAGCCTAGCATCATGCTTAATAAATTTAATTTACATTTGGGAACATATGTTAAGTATATTAAATAATTTAACTTCATTCTCTCACTTGTTTTGGGGAATAACCTGTTTTGAAGTAATCTAAAGAAGTTATAAAACACTTAATTTCAAAAAGCAAATTTGGTTTTTTACTCGTTTATTTTTTCTTTTTCATTCAGATTAGATAATGAAAGTAGTAAGGTCAATTTTACTTTTGTTCACAATGTAGTTCATATGACCAGGCAAAGTTTGGATTGAAATGCTTTAAGGAGAATACTTAGATCTAAGCAAAAACTCTCTTGTTGAGATTTAAAGAAACCGTGTCTATTAATCTTAGAATTCGTAGGACATACATTCAAAGGATGTTGACTTTAATTTCCCTTTAGATATTTAAGCCTTTTATTTTATTTAAAATAGCCAGTTATGCAACGACAGGTTGTCTGCAGTTTTTACTGCACTGAAAGTGCATTAATTTAAGATTTTTGAGATTTATCAGAAGCTTAAGTAGCAATGTCAGTGTGAGGGAAAAGAAGAACAGAGAGGGTGGGGAACAAGTGTACCACAATGGCAGAGATTACATATGCTCATACCAGCCTGTACATTACTGCAAGGAGTGTGTGGCGATGCCCCAACCCCTTTTTAGGAAGCAGCTAGCCTGTGCATGGGCAGGTGCAAAGGATAAAAGGAGGAGAGAATGGCAGCCTGAGAGAGGGAGAGAAAAGGTGAGCAGAGAGCATACAGATGCTGAGTGAGAGGCAACACAGACTACATGCGGGAGGAGGGAAGCAAGGAGAATGCTCCAGGGAGGCTTGAAGTGAGACATTCTGAGTGGAATTGGTTCTGTGTTTACAGGCTGTCAGATGATTAAGGGCTCAATAGAGATAAGGAGCCCAGGTGGTATGGACTTTGAATTTAGTTTGGTGATCTGCTAGCACACAGTTTTCCTTTGCCATAAGCACTTTACCTCCTTAAAAGCACTTTAAGGATAGGCAGACAGTGCTATTATAACTGAGCACTTGGTACAAGGGTAGTTGGGCATAGTGCCATCAGCAGTAAGAGCACTTTAGAGGCTAAAAGGGATGTGTACAATATTAGGTAGCTGAGACTGGGACAAGACTCCAAGAGGTGGTAGACTTAGTGAATGGTGCCATAACTCAAATGGTGTCAGAACCCTCAAGGACCTGAACTGAAGAGGATTTGGGAAAGTGCAGTAGCCAGGCAGAAGCAATAATGAATGCACTGGGTACTTTAGATCCCTTGTAACTTCAGCAAAACTTTGGGTAAAAGTTGCTCATTGAACTAGCGACAAGAACTACGCCTCAGGGGGGGTTCATTTATATATTTTTGTTTGTTATTATTGTGTAGTGAAAGACCATGTACTCTCATTGACAATGGACTAGACCTTTTATTAACATCAAGGTTGTGTAAGGCTGGGGTATGAGCGGAGGTTGGAGCCCCAAACTACTATAAAACAATTAAGAGTCTATCAGCTTCCAGACAAAAGACTTAGGGCTGAACATCTCCCAGTTGTAAGAACTAGAAAGTGTGGCAAGAAAATGTAATCAGAAGACAGCCCTGAACTCCAAAGATAAGGAAACATGATGGCTCTTGAATGAGAAGAGACGTTTTCAAATCGTTAGTGAGGTTGGCGATGAGGCCCAGAGTGTACAGTCAGAAACATATCCCCTAATGAGAACTGACCTATTTTTTGCAATTTTACTAGATACTGAAAGGATATACTTTAGAACATTGATTCTCTCTCTTTTTTCTTTTAAGATACAAGGCATCCCTCGTTAGGCTCGTGGCACCCTTAGAAAGTGCAGGCTCCTAGTTTTCATTAATTTTTTAACTATGGAAAAATAATAGAGCAATATTTCTATTGTAAAGAACTCAGAAAGACCACAACAGATCAGACTGTTTTTAATACTATGGGTTCTTATTTGAAATCTCTGGGTTTATCTTGTTAATCCTGACTGCACGCATAGCAGTACGAACACTGTATGGCACCCTGTGGCGCACCCCTGAATAGATCTCAAAGCACACAAGGATGCCGCAGCACGCTGGTTAAGAATCACTACTTTAGATAGAATTGTGTATGCGTCTTACATTTTAGCTTCTTTGCTGAAGCTTAAGTGCTTGTTCTTTCATGGTTTGTAAGACCAAGGATCCAAATCTCACCTAAAATTATTTATCTTACTTTACATAAAACAATCAACTAAAAAAGAAAATACAAAATAAAACAAAAAAAATCCCTCAAACCTAAGAAAAGTTTGACCCTTGAAGTGATAAACAGTAGCAAAATTGCATATTTTGAAATAATCTAATTTCAGTAAGATTTTTTATTACGTTACTCTACAAATCCATGGAAGTTCCATGAAAAAGGTCTCTGAAATATTAAATTTCGATTCTTACCATGAGTTAATGGCAGATTCAGTCTGGAGGATGAGCTGCATTCCATCATGGAGACCTGGTGATCCTGCTCACTTTCTCTCTGAAGAATGGTCTCTGGATGTCCTGCGAGCACTTTATTTATGCTGCTAACACAAACAAATCCCACCATATACACAAATCTAGGAGGAGTTCCAACTATAATTTAATAATTATGCTTTTGAAAGTAGACCTACTGTGCTTGACAAATATGTCATTCATAACTGTTAGCAATGATATATTGATGTGGGTAATGATTATACATTAACAAAAAACTGAGATGGTACTCTAGGCTAACTCTACTTGCCAGCCTGACATACTGCTACATACAGGGCACTGCAGAGACTAATGTAGCAGCAGTGAGGAAGACAGCCTCTTGGACAAAGTAACAGTTACCCTCATATTCTTGGAGTAACTTTTCAGCCTGTTCAGCAATCCGTGCCTTTGAGAAAGCAATGGCTTATCAGTGTTGGGTCCTGTTCTTTGCCAGACCATCTGGTTGGTTTAGCAGTGGAGCTCTTATGAGCTGGCTGGGCATTTTTATTCTGGTTCTCTGTCAAAGTAGCCATAAATAAGTGGGAGATCCTTTCTAATACCCAATTCTGAGAAATCAGGATATACAAATACAACATTCTGCATGCGTCTACATGAGATATTTACTTGGAGTAGACTAATTAGCTGTGTAGTAAATGTTCTGTGTCTACACGTGTGCCCCTATTAGGCTGGAGTAAACTTATTTATTCCAGCCTAAAAAACTCCACAGCAGTGCATGTGCAGACACTGCCCTGGCTGGCTGGAGCATGAAGCTGCTTTAGTGCAGGAACTGCCTGCCAGCTAGGCCCACACTGAAGCACTCTTGTGCCCCAGCCAGCCTCTCCACAGCACATTAAACTGCAGGGAGCAGCCCTGGGCTGGAAGGCTACCCCCCAGCCAGGTGAGGCTGCTCTGACTCAGCTCAATATGCTGATTTGAATATCTGCACTAAAAAGAAATGAATTTTAAATTTAATATATCCTGAAGTCTGATTGGTTTCTAACAGATGGCCAGCCTGCTAGCAAAAAGGACCTCTACCCTAGGTTTAAAGAAAAAGTTTTAAAGAAGAGCTTATCTTGGTTCATCTGCAGATGGGCCATTCACTAAGAACCATAGTTATTCAAAGTTGAAGACCAGATTCTGAGGTGAATCTACATTTTTATACTCAATTGCTTGGCTCAACTTCAAAAGATTGGTAATTAAGGCTAGAAATACAGAAATATGCCTAATATGTTACTTCATCATTAACATTAGTATCTTTATTTAAAAACTACACCTTGTCCTACATCAGATTGAACTGGTACAAAACCACTAAAATCACTCCAAGGGGAGGACAGATGTTCTGCCCAGTTGTCTGGGGAGCCACAGATCTTGGGGAAAGCATGCACTATAGTGCAGCCAGAGGGCAGGTGTGCAGTGATTCCAGCATGCTTTGTTGGGGCTTCCACTTCCAGAGGTTCCTGAGGACTGCTAAGTACAGAGAAAGACACCAACTGGCTGGCTGCCCAGAGAACGACATCTACCCAGTGACTTTCTCTGCTTGTGCTGGGAATGGAGAGAGACAGTATGCCTGGTCAATTTCCACTGTCTAAGGCTTGTCAATTTCATTTCCAGACTGAAATGGATCCCTGCCATCTGCACATCCTGAGGCAGCAACACTGGCAGGTCCTGCAGCGCCCACCACAGGTTCTTCTGCAAGCTCATTCAGCTCCTTTGCATTGCCATGTAAACCCATGCAGACAAGATTGAGGCCCTGGCCACCTGCATCCTCCAATTCCTCCCGCTGAAACCTGACTTCAGACGAGGGTGAACATGTTGCGCTTAGGAAGAGAAGCTCAGAGCAATTGCATGCACCCAATCTAAGCATGGTATACAACACCACAGTTCTGCCATGCACCCCAATGGCAACACTAAAAATAGGTCCATTTGCCCAAAAAACTCCATGACTTAACCCTCACCTCTTCTTTTCCTGCCAGAAGTCATTCTCCTTGTTTTTTAGTGAAGATGCATCATCCTGCTCCCAAAGTGTCTTCTTCTGTCTTGTAACTTCTTTCTGTTTGTCTTCTTCTTGACAATTACTCAATTCTGTCACATTCTAGAAAAGAGAAATATTGAGGATCTTTGCCTCAACTCATGTTCAGAATATGCAGTAACAAAAGTCTAACCCCAAACATACTGAATCCATTATACATTAAAGAAATTATTGTCAAAGCAAATAAACTATATTATATGAAAGAGAAGAAGCATTTGATCTTACTGATATTGACCTTGGATTTAGTCAGAACCTCCTTAAAACAATTAATGTGATGGTACTGAACTTGGAAATTTTGAGGGAAACCATTCCTGCATATAAACCATGGTCTACCTTATTCAGGTACCTCTACCTTGTCTTCTGCTTGACACCAGACTAAGATGGCTAACTACCTTTCTCTCCTTAATCCATTTGCTAAAATTGTCTAATGAATGAGCTAACTCTATATACTAAAATAACAAAACTGTATTAGCAAAGGCAAAGCTAACTGCTAGTTCTGACTCTAGTTCCATAAGAAACTCACCATTATTCCACTTCCTTCGGTGATGGAGGAAGAAGTAGAGAGGGGCTCTGTACAGCTTGAAGAAATGATGAATGGAACTACAGTATCTTCAATTATTTTGCGCTCCTAGTTGAAGATGTGGAGGTGGAAGAGGAAGGAGTCAAACATCATGCTTGTCAAAAAGAATAATGGTTACAAACTTCAAAAACAGAAGTACAGTGTTAGGCACCTAGATGTCGGCTGAGGTTAACGATCTGATCCTTAAAAGTCCAGAGCATGCAAATCTAAGCTTAATATGTAATGGCAAGGAGTTGTAATACAGCTTTATATATCCTTAGGAAAAATTATTTTCTCAATTTAAATTTGTTTCAGGCCTCTAATTATTTTCATTTGCTGTCTCTGATACCCTTTTACTTGTACCATATCTTTCTTGAGATAGGTTGACCAGAACTGGACACAGCATTCCAGCTGGGGTGCAGCACCATCTTTTGTGTCCTATTTTCTAATCCATTCTTCAAATGGAATAGAGTTATTATTAGCATAGAATTAATTGACATTATTCCTTTCAATGTTTACCACCTTGTGTTTGCCCTCAGCTTTCTCTGTAAGCATCTCATTACATCACTACAAATACCAAGATAATGAGAGTGGTAAATTAGCAAAGGCACATTCATTGACATATAGATTCATATTGGGAATGTAGCCCAAAGTCTATTTTTCTGCCTCCCCCTTCCTTAATTCCTATATCACAGTCTTCCTAGAAAAATGCCTGGCAGGTAAGCATATGTTATTTAAGTAATGCTTAACTATCATTACAATTTTGCTTCTCATCAAGATCACAGAGATGATTCTATCCAAGCACTGCCCATGGTATATTAAAATTACCTACAAGAATACACAAAAAGATTATTAGAAACATATAACCAGTGTCAATAACTTAGGAAACTAAACTTTTCCAGGCTCACTGGAGTAGTAAAACAGGAGGAGATGCACACACAGGAAAAACAAGGACACCAATCCTTTTTTTTTTTTAATTTATACAACAGTGAGATTCCAACTTTTCCACTGTCAAGATGTTCTCTCACAAAATAGTATCACAGATGACTTATTTCTAGAGATTAAATCTACGATGGGATGTAGGAATCACAATACTAAGTAATGTATTTCTTAACTCCCTGTTGCCTTGTGCAACTCACAGCCTTAAAACAAGAAAAGGATCTTTAAAAGCCAGTAGCAAGCAAGTAGGAAATACTGAGGAAGGGGGTATGGGGTAGTGCTTAAGCCCCACTCCAAAAGCCAGTGGTCCAACAACAAACCATGCCAACCACTTTTTTTCCACCAAAAGTAGAAAGAGAAGGTGATGGTGGACAGTCTTTCAGGTCCAGTGTTTAAAGCACTCAGCAGTAACATGGGAGACCCGGGTCAAATTCCACCTTTGCCTATTTTGGAGCTGGTATTTGAATCCCTATCTTTCACTACTCAAACACATTCATCATTGGGCTACTGTAGCAACAGGTCTAGGACACTAAGGAGGGGAGGGGCAGGGTGAGGGTGTGTGGCATTGCATGTATCCAGGTGGCTGTGACTAAAGCTCTCAGCAGCAAATAAGTGCAACCACACCAGCTCCCCCCCAAATAAATTACTGGGTGATCAGGGATTAAAAACAGCAGGCTACAGTCATTTTTCATCTCTTTCAGATCCAATGAATATTTAAGTATATTATGCAAATATAACAGCTTCAACAGGATAAACTAAAAGACACACACCCCAAATAACCTAGTTATTAAAGCACTCGCTTGGGAGGTGGGAAATCTGGATCCAAGTTCTTGCTTCAATTACGCTCAGAAGGAGAGATTTGAACCAGCGTCTATCTCTTGGTGACAACTCTAGCCCCTCAACTAATTGGCTCTAAGGGCATTCCCTTCATCCGGTTGTATCTAATGTAGGATAGGCCTACCTACTGCATGAAAATGGCTACTGAAGCTGACCCTGTGGTTCAGAAAGGCAGGCCATAGCTAGTTGGAGAATCCTGCCAGAGCTTGGGTCTGACCTGAATGCTGAACTGTATGCTGCTGTTATGACTAAGCCAGCTTTGTGGATATTCAGAGGCAAAAATGTAGGCATTTAGAGGCATTGAGTTTAGGAGTTTAGGATGGAGGTTTAGCCATGTTTAGGATTACCTGGCAGTTCAGTAGAGCTCTGAGGATCTCAGGGGTGCCTAAATGTTGGACTTAGGCATCTAAATGCTGTAGTGAATACTTAAATCACTTTATAGATTCAGCCCCAAGCAACCCTTCCAAGAGCAAAAAGGGGAAAAAAAGTAAAACTCCCCTGTACTGAAGCTGCAGAATTACTTCTGAACTTGATGCTTTGGCACATTTTACCTCCTCATAGTATCTACGCTCCTCCTCTTCAACCTCTTTCTGAGCTTTTTCCCATTCTTCTTTCAGCTTGTCTTGCTCCTTCTGGTACTGCTCCTATAAAGAATTTCAGCTCAATCACTTCAACAGGAAAACTCATACAGCATAAGGAATTCGATCTGCTTCAGTGGAAGAACAGACAGCTAGGATTTAAATGTTGTGATATATTCCAAGCATCAGTGAAAGGGGACAAGCAGAAATCTTGTTTGTCAGACATACAGCATGCCACGTGAAAATAAGAACCTGAAAGACCCCTCGAAGACAGAAAATTTATTTTCTCACCCTAGCCCCAACATTCTTATCCATGCCTTGGCTCCCATTTTGTTTAGTACTCTCAACCTTATTGTAAAACACCAGGAACATTTAACATGTTAAACAAAGTTTGATTAGTTAGAGGTTTCCAAATGTTAGTAGCTGTTGGACATTAAATTTGTTTACAGTGATTTAGAAAAAGTCATACTTTGTTAAGGTAGAGTTCTTATAAGCTACCAAAACAGTCCAGTTAAACACGGATTTTGAATTAATCATTTGGCTAAACTGGTGAAGGAACTTAACTGGACTTTGTAGATATTAGCTTTGCCACTAATCTAATAAAGATAAGCTGCTGCCAGTACAATTTAATGAAAGATGAAAACCCATGTAGGCTTATAAGATAAATAGACATTGTATAAAAGTCTGAAGCGGATAAGATGATGATTAGCTGAGTAGTTTGTTTTCTTCTCGGATGGGATTATTCCTTGAGAATAGAATCCCCTCAGCCCTGTGTGTTCTGAATCAGAATATAATCTTTTGAAGAGCTATTTAAAATGCTTTGGCATCAGACCTGTTTTTCCTACAGGGAAGTGGCAAAGATATACTGTTTCCACCTAACTTTATTTGCAACATCTTAAGAAATTGATTTACTTTCAGTCTGGTTCCCATGTAGGCTATGGGATGCATTCTGAGGATGACTTAATTTCTGGAATAGAAAACATTGCAGAAAGAAAAATATACCATGTATAAAAAAAATGAAATCAAGAAACATAGCCACAATTCATTCATTCTCATCTATTATGAAATATTATTATCCATCACCACAGCCTTAATGCCTGCCTAATTTCACTATTATTTCCTTTTCACATTTCTGTTAAGTTTCTTCAGTAAGTTTTAGTTTTGACACATTAGAAGTTTCTACTGAAGAAAGGATTTGTTGAAAAATTCACAACCAGTTCCATGTTCATTCAAGCAATTTAAGCTTATTTGATTCATATTACATACTCAAATCTGAATATTTTAACACAGCTATAAAATGACCTGAACTGCTCAAGTTATGAGGAAAATGACAATCTAAATCAGGGGTGTCCAACCTTTTTGAATGTGGGGCCAGATCATGAACTTTTTATCACCCAGTGGGCCAGCAAGCCATATTCAAAGACCTCACAGGAAGCGGTATCACATCATCCCCCCGAAACAAAAGTACAGTGTTTACTTTCATTTCCCATCACAGCACCTCGGGCCTCAGAAAACAGCTTGGAAGACCGCATGTTGGACAAGCCTGATCTAAATGAAATACAATTGAACAACAATGGGAAAACACTTTGCAGTCTCGGTACCTGAAGTAAACATTCCTGTTCATGCTGCCATCTTTCCTGTCGTTTTCGCTCCTCTTCTGGATCCCAGGACCAGAAATTGAAATGCTTATAGAAATTGAATGTGATTATTAGAATATACAAATGTTACAAGACAATCGTAAAAAGCTGCACAATGCAGTCACTTTGCCTACTCTAACAAGCATAATGAACACGTTAACCTACAAGGAGATTTCAGATTATTTATTATAGTTATGGTTAGCTGACTACAAGTAGTTATTCTTACTTTCCTCACCAATTTAGAATTATTTTTTTGCACCATGTTCAAATTTATTTGCAAAACAATTTCTTTTTCTCCACAGCAAGGAACAGTCAAACAATATTGGAAAAAAGGTATGGACTGGAAACCATTCTAAGGATAATAAGAATAGCTGCAGAACTTGTGACATTTTCTACAGTTGCTGATGCAAAAGTACATCAGCATAGTAAAGAAAATCAACAACACCTTATTCTCCCTTGGAATAATCCCAATGCCATAAGCATCAAAATAAATAATTTATTTGTTCCTACAGATTATATATTTTGTGTCTCTGCCAAAAATAATAATTCACAAGTTTTGGTTTATGATATTATTTATGCTGTGACAAAACACAGGACCTAATCAGATCAAGAACCCATTATATCATATAATATGATATATTAAATATTTATTTTCCTTTAAAAAGGAAATTGAGTCCTACAGTGGACATTTCACGTGATACCCTCTTCTCCAAAGCCACATATTGGGTACTTACTCAAATGGGAAAAGATACAGTCCACTTTTCCATTATGAATAGTATATGGAATACAGGCTACACTGTGTTTTAATATATACAGGTATCTTTGAGGGATAATGGATTTTCACCTAACAATCATTTCCTGTGCATAGTTTCTATGCAAGTTAAATGAAGGCAATGTTCAGAAAGACACACAGACCCATTCACAAAATGAATGGGAATTCTCAAGGTTAAAATTAAGCATTACTTAAGCTTTGTAAGACCAAGGTTATCTGCATCACAATCTTGTATGATAACATTTCTCCTTAACAGGGGGAAACTTCAACTCCCAGTTTAAACCACTGTAATCTTACTAGTATTAGTGGATCTCACAGGCTTAATTGAAGACAGAATTTGCCTCCACATTTGTTTAAAGGTCTGAAATATTTGGGTCATAGTTATTTTCCTTCAGTCAAAGGAACTGAGTTTCATCATTCCTACTTGAGAGTACTTTGAGATGGTTTACAGAAAGAGTTACCTTTGCTTTAGTTGTAACCATAATAACAAAATCATAGGGCTGGAAAGGGCCTTACGATTAAGAGTCTAATCCAATATCCCCAACACAGATGCAGGTTTTATTGTACCTAAACCAGAGAGAAGCCTGGGAGATGTCTATTCACCCTCCTCTTAAAAACTTCCAGTGCAAATCTCTATACTGAACATATGCTGAAAAAGAATGCCCTGCATGCAAAAGCTTATCTAAATCTATCCCAGAAATGCAGATGGTCAACTAAAATATATCACTCACAAAAATCCTTGCCTCTTATACTGATTATACTAATATTCTGACATTCAGAATAATGAAAAAACTACTTACATTTGATTTGTCTCCATTATCAAAATAATCTGAAAAACATAAAAACTAAAATTAACTCCTCAAAATATATTAAAACCCTTAAATATACCTTTTCTTAATGTGAGCTAAGGATCAAAACATATCTGCAGAAAAAGATACAAGGCTTCAGGCCAATTTAATAACAAGACTTGCCCCACAAGCAACTGCAAAGAAAATATGTGATAAAATAGATCAGAAAAGTAGATCCTGCACCCTTCACCAGCAAAAGTATTTCTGATATGGCTAGAAATGAGCAGCGCATCAAGATCAGGATCTAATCTATCACTAACTAATGGCAGCTACTTTTTGGCCACAGGCATTAGCAGTGCTTGGATATAGAGTGTTATCAGATTTAATTTACTTTTATCTTTTGCTATTTAATGTGGGGAAAGAAAAAGCAGAGCCAAGGAAGAGGCAACAAAATTATACACTACTCAAGAGCCACAGTTACCAAGAGAACCAATGCCTTTGAAATAAACTGTTAAAAAAAACAGATGCAAAGGAAAACATATAAAGGCAAATGATATTCTTTTGGTATCTGAAACTAAAGTATTACATTCATGTATAGTTTAACAGCTCTTTTCCAGCTGTACATGAGGGAGAGGCACTTTCTATGGAAGCAGAAAGTGGAAATAAGTACCAGTGACCATTAGCTTTACCCCGCCCACATTTTAAGACACCTACTACTCAGGGCAGCAGAAAGGTTGCAGCTACTCTCCGTGCATCATTTACCTGACCGGGAGAAAAACTGTGAGCGTCGCCAGGAGTTCCGAACCTTAAGCGGAACACTGGCACAGGTAGGTGATTCTAGAGCGGGCGGCAAAATAGAAACAAGAAACAACACTGTGAAAAGAAAATTGTCCACCTTCGAGATGTGAACTCACTTAAGTGACAGAAGGGCTTTTTAATAAAATGAATCACTTAAAAGGCTGGTTACAGCTAGGTTAAAGTCCGTTTCCCAATGAAATAACTTCATAAAAAATTAGGATTGGAAGGGACCTCAAGGGGTCATCTAGTCTAACCTCCCGCTCAAAGCAGAATCATCCTCATTAAGAGGGTTTCCAGCTAAATTGGAGTAGAATTAAAAGTCATTGTTGGGATATACTTCATCTAATTTTACCCAACACACCTCTAACACATTAGAACGTAATTAAGGAAGTCTGCTCCTGAATCTCTTTTCTTAATTCAAAGTGTTTGTTAGGTTTTCACTCACTCACTCACATTTTTTTTTGCATGGTGACTTTCAGCACCATTCTGTGTGCACTAGAGCAAATCAAGCATTTCAGCATAACTGAAAGAATAAAAAATATCTCCAGTCACCTACATGATTTCTGGACTGCTTTCTTGTTTAGTAAACACTTGAGTTACTTCATTTCTGAAGTATCTCCCAAGTCTTATAAATTTTAGTTTCTATTCTAGTTTCTGTGCACATACATGGCACATGTTAGCTGTAAGGACAGATGCATATGAACAGCTAAGAACAGAATTTAACTCCAAAAAATGTAATTGCCATGAAAACATATTACTAAGCCATGTTCCTCAGCTTGAAGCAGCAGTACTGGTAAAACATAATAGCCTTGAACATATCAGACCTTTTAACTTAATATCAGCTATATATAAATTAGATTAATTAGATAACACCATGCTGGACTTCCTCATGTGCGCCATATTTTTGAGGTTGTAGTTAAGATTACTGACAGTGCCCACAGAACACTGCCCTAACAGTACTTGTTCAGGTGTAACTTGAAAAATGATAATTTCCCTTTGAAAAACTCCAGCTCAAAGGACCTATATTTTATTTGTAGATCCAACATAAGGTTATTTTCCTTTTTACCCTCTAGCGAGTTTTCAATTACTGCCCAATTTCATTCTATCCAGCTACAAAAATACTCTTTTCTTTGCTTACCTTGTTGCTCAGAATTCTGCAAAGTAGCTTGGCTAGTCTCAGGCAATTTCTTCAAAAATGGAAATACGATACTTCCTTCTTGTATTAGAGTCTTTGGCTTCCCCATCTGTCCAAACATTTAGGAATGGACAACAATGTATAAATATCATGCATGTGATGAATGTCTAGTTCCACCACATGAAATCTTTTAGCTTTTTTTTTTTTTATTAAGACTGAGGAGAAAAACAAACATTACAAAACTTGCACCAAAGCAATGTTCTATTTAAATTATGGAGACCTTTTTTTGGTTCTTTACTGCCTCCCATATGATACTAGAAGTCTTCTGGATATTAAAGGTGCCACAGCGGAACCCAAATAATTTTAATTGGAATGGCTCTCAAAACAATTACTCCATAGCAGGTTGCCAAATTAAGGAGAAACACTCAGTTGTTTTTACTTCTAACCTCATTGCTTCTCCACTCATTTGGAGCAACTTGATGGTCCCATGCAACTGCTTGAAGAAGCAGCACCCTTTGAAATAAAAAGCTGTGGCAAAAAGCTAGAGCACCTCAGGAGTCCCGTGCAGCAGTTTGCTGTGGCTAGGTAAACCCCCAGTTAATTTGCAAACAGTCATCTTTGCAGGGAGGTAGGGACTTAACTCTGCAAAGCATCTGGGTTTAACCGTACTATTCGAGGACTGACATAGATGTCATAGATTTCCTCAGCACAAAGCCAACTATCACTTCAGCTATATGTAGTCACTCCACATTTCAAGACAGTTTTAAAAGCAAGCTTCTCCATTTACATACTTTGCACACACTGCTTTCCCTCCTCTTAGAGCCCTGCCACATGTTCAAATTAGACCTCGATAAAAACCAGCTATACAGTTGTTACACATTTTCAAGCACTAACTTTGTAGCTGGTTGGCTCTTTTTATTGATAAACATCTTTATGACATGCTAATTACTTTGCATGTGTGGCTGGTCTAAATGTATTGTGCAATTAACCAGTTAATTGCATAATATATGTAGCATGTGGCAGAGACCTAGAAACATAAGGTCCATGGATCAAATTCTCCAGTCTGCTCCTTGGGTGGAGGATTCTTTCTGGAAAGGGACTCTGCTATTATAAAGGTAGCAGAGTCTGCCTGTAAGAGTTGTATCCTGCACATCTGGCACATGCACTGAATTTAGAGAAAGAAGTGGGTGTGGTGAAGCTACACTATCTATTTTCCACAGGCATAACATCTCTTATGCCAGTCATATAAGCTACGGAAGATTCACAACAGTGAGTATATTCACCCTTTGCAAGACTTGCCCTTTGGTTTTTTAAATAAAGTTTTTTACTTTCAGGTGCTCAAGAACAGTCTAAAATCTTGTTTTTGGATTACTGAAAGTAGACTTTCAATGAACAAACTCCTAACTTTGTTATTAGATAACATTAAGATTGTTAGCACACTGAAAGCATTGCCTGTCAGGTCCTTCTCTACCCTTCTCTCTCCATAATGGTCTTCTGTACCTCCTGTGTGACCAGGTCTTCTGCTTCTTTCTGTTGTTTTCTCTCGGGTTTCTTCAGGTCTTTATCTTTCGAAGCAGCATCTTCAAACTGGGTAGGAGGAGGAAACTCCACATTGATCAGAGCAGGGCTGGCACAAGTAACAGTTGCCTTGAATTGATTATGGTCTGAACCTAATACACACACAGGAATCACAAATATTTACTTACTTCTGAAATTAAAAAAAATTAGAAGAAAATCCCATTATATAAACACTGCCGAGTTAAGACAAAATTCAACTGGAACCCTCCATTTAAATCACACTGACTATGTAGGTGGACCCAACACTTGATCACTGGTGCTTAAACTATCTTGTCAGGGCAAACAGAACTTATTCCTTCAAATAAGGAAGTTAATACTGCAATGCCACCAGTCTCTCTATGAGGAGTGGATGTCACTCCAGGTCTCCCTATTTTTCTACTAAAACAAGATAGTGCACTTTCTTTGGTTTCAAGTGCTTTGCTCAGAGACAGACTTGAACAGATGGGAATATGATGGCTGAAGCTCATTTCCCATAAGGCAAACTCGATGCTTGTAGTTTGGGTAAAGGATGTAGGGAGTACAGCAGGGAGATGTTGCTTATCCCGCAAGGCAGCACATCATTTTGAATATCACTCCCAAAGTCTTAACATTTTTTTCTATTATACTTGGTATCACCGTCTCTCTCTCATATGTGGACTTTGGCAGTTACACTTGACCTTTGTGACCTCTAGACTGGCTAACTACACATTTCACTGGATTACTACTGAAAACTTCTGCTAGTACAGTGTGGAAATAAGTTTAACCAGGCCTCTTACTGGACTCAGAAGAGAGAGAAAGAGAAGAGAAAAAGATGCTGATGCTATGCGTTTCAAAATGTTCTAAGATAAGGAAAAACCTTCATGCCTTGTTTTGTCTGTGTGCAGATGTTAACCTCCTCCTTTCCGCTGAACCAGAACCTGATAACTGTTCCCAAAACACAGTGTTTTCTTTCCTGAATAAGTAAACTGCTTACGTGTGACAAACAAATGATCAACATCTTTCTGTTTCTCTCAAAGTTGCTTTGTCTGAACCCTGCATCTTTTCTTGCTGTCTAAAGTATAAATACGCTTGTAAACTTGTAGAGGTCAGAGTTCCTTTGAGAACCCTCCTTGTGATCACTTGTATAGCTTTAAATAAACCTCAATGGCTGTGCCAATTCTAATACAACCACAACGCGAAGTTTGATTTCTTCCACAACGGAAATGGGCCTTCTGTTTTCGCAGTTATTGGAGCTTGCTCCAGTGCACTGCAGACTTCAGGAGGGCTGCTGATGCAATTAAAGATGTCAATATTTACTTATAACCTACTACCATCCTGTGGTTTACCTAACTGAAACATTGGTCTTGCTCTTTC